GAGCTCTAAAGATGTTCTTCCAGACGAGGGCGTTCCCGGACATCATCCTCAAGGACAAGTATGAGTTTGAATCTCCACTGGACCCAGAGCTTTGGGACGCATGGTTGCGAGCAGCGGCTGACCCGGAAAAGCATTTGGTGGATTGGATCCGCAAAGGGGTGCCTCTGGGGATGAGCAAAGAGATACCTTGCTGTGGCATCTTCCCGATGGCGGACGACCCGGAGCTAGACATGGAGGAGATGCCGGAGCTGGTGGATCAGTTGGGAGCAGTCAACTACAAGTCCTTCACGGAGGAGCCGGCGCATGCGAGAGCAGAGCTGAGTAGACTCGTGGAGGAGGGATTTGCGGTGGTGCTCCCGACGGCAAAAGCGCAGGACATGCACAAGAAGGGCATCGTCTCGAAGCTGGCCTTGTTGATCAAGAATAAGGACGACGGGAGTGTCAAAAGGAGAATCATCATCGACTTGCTCAGGTCAGGAGGCAATGCCAGGTGCCGCGTGCCGGAGCGGATCGTCCTGCCCAGGGTGGTGGACGTGATCGATGGCTTCAGGTACTTGTGGAGCACCAGGGACCGCATGAAGAGCAAGTCGAGAGATGAGGAATGGGAATTGGATGAGGATCGACCAGAAGGAGGCATCTTCGATTTTGAGCTGGTGACCGCAGATCTCAGCGATGCCTACTGTCACCTGCCAGTGCACCCCGAGGAACACCCAAATTGCTTGAGCCCAGGATTGCATCAATCTGAAACGCTCATGTGGGTCGCGATGTTATTTGGCTTCAAAGGTGCACCTCTGTTAATGGGCAGGTTTGCAGCGTGTCTGGCACGGATCTGGCAGTCGCTGATAGCTCCATCGGAAATGCAGAGCCAGCTGTATATGGACGATCCCATGTGGATTCTTCGTGGTCCGACTTCCCGACGGAACAGGAATCTGGCGCTCTTGCTCTACACAGCGAGAGCACTAGGTTTGAACCTGGCCTGGCACAAAGGTTCGCGGGGGTCACAGTTGACCTGGATCGGAGTGATGTTTGAGGTGGTCCAGGCGGAGGCTGTCATTAAGCTCACTGTCCCCAAGAAGATGATGGCGGAGGTTTCACAAGCGCTGGAAGCCTGGGAGTCAAGAGGGATGGTGAGCTTCAAGGAGGTGCAGCAGCTGACAGGAAGGCTATCATGGATAGCGGGCATCCTTCCGAGATCACGATGGGCTGTCTCGATCATGTATGCGGTGCTCGCAGATGCCAAGAGGACAGAGCGTGAAGAAAAGAAGAGGGCAGCGAAACGAGTCGACCAGCGACCGAAGGTTGGACTCATTGCGGTCAAGCGCTTAGAGCTCCCGAGGCGATGGTTCATCACGTTGTTCAAGGAGCCGGAGGCATTAGCGTTGAGGAAGGAACCAATGGTTGAGCTGCTGCCGGACTATGCCATTGTGACGGATGCGAGCCCTCAGGGAATCGGCGCTCTTCTGGCGACAGTGGATCACACCATGGGGCCCTCCTTCACTATCCTGGAAGGGTTGGAGATCCCGCTCGAAGAGGCCGACGCAAGGTGGCTTGGAGTGCCCTGGAAGGAATCAGCATCCCAGGGTCCACTGGAAGCATGGGCGGTGAAACTGGCAGTGAAGCGGTGGGCCAACAAACTGGAGGGCAAGAGCATCGTGTTGCGCAGTGACAGCGTGGTGGCCTTAGCTATGACCAAGCGGCTTTCATCCCCCTCCCCGGTGGTGAACTGGGTGGGGGCAGAGCTGGCAATCAGGTTCGAGCGGGCCGGCATCAAGCGGGTGGTGACGCAGCACATCCCGGGTAACTGGAATGTCGAGGCAGACTGGCTTTCACGACCACAAGACCGAGGAGAGAAGCCTGAGCGTCTGCAGAAGGTGCCAATCAAGTCTTTCCCAAGGAACTTGATGCACCGATGTTACTTGTCTCCCCCCGGGATTGCACCACAGCTCTGGGGTGCGTCGGCCCAGCAGGTCTCAGGAGCCTTCGAGCTGCTTTGAAGGGATGAGGATGAAAAATTTTCGTCGCTCATTCTCGGCTTGAGGGGCGAGGTTTGAGGGGGCCGGAAGACGGGGGGAGGGGGCACGGGGTCGAGTCGATTCGCTGTCGCATGTCGATCCCGAGTTGTGAGTGGCTGTGCTCGTGAAAGCGCCGGGAGAGCTCACGATGGCTCAAGTGATGGTAAGGCCCGATCCTGCCGTGGTGGCAGGAGATAGGGCGGCGGAGTGGGCCTTTGGCGAATACGCGGTACTAGCCGGGTGGGCCTTCTTCGGGCTGGGCCTCTTGAAGGGCGTGTGGGAAGCGCTACGTTGGAGCAGCTCTCCGCGGAAACCAGAGAGCGGGGAACAGGCGGAGAGGACACCTACCAGAGTATGCTCTCAATGCGGCAGGTCAAGCGAAGAGGTGCAGCTGAGACGAGAACAATCCCCAAAGAGAGAAAGTTCGAGAAGGCGACAGGTCAGTGTCACGCCAGAGAAGAAGCCATTAGAGTGGCCAAAGCCGGAATCCCCAGGGAGGTCGCCAGAAATTCAGCGGGCAAGAGCACAGATCCTCGAGGCCATGGTTCAGAGGGCTCAACCAGTGGTGCAAGACTTACACGACATGCGCCGCCTTGGTGGAGTGGGACCGGTGCTGCGACGTGGATCCCGCATTCAGTGAGCTCGAGGAGGACGTTGGGGGTCGGGGGCTTTGGCTTCAAGAACCCCTCGAACTGCATGGTGGAGCTAATTCGGAATAGAGTGCACGGAGGAAATCACCATTTTGGTGTCAACAGTCCATCGGAGCAACCGGAAGGGAAGCACCGAGATCAGGGACTCTCGCGGGAGGAGCAAAGGGCCAGTGAGAGGTCAACGAATAAGGGCTCCTTCGACGAGGTCATGGACATCCTGAAGGAAAAGGAGAAACTGGCCAAAGCTAGACAGGAGTTGAGAAAAGACTTCATGGCCGACTCATCTAGAGCCTCGCAGAGAACGAAAAGGGAACAGGTGTTGGCAATGGCCGCGGAAGCACGTGACCCAGGAGCTGACACTTTTCCGCTGAAGACAGAGACGGTGGAGGCAGTGGCTGCGGCGATAAAAGCGGTGGGCTGGACTTCGGGAGATCAGTACATCAACGAGCTGAAGCTGATGCACATCGAGGCTGGATGGGACGTGAGTCAGCAACTGAGCAGAGCTTTGGCCGACTGCAAACGATCTCTCCGAAGGAATAGAGGCCCAGTGAAGAGGGCGCCGGAGTTCAGGCTGGAAGACATCGAGCAGATGAAGTGGATCCTGACGTGCAGAGGTCCGAAGAAGGTGGCGAGGCCGGCTCTGGCATACGCTTGGGCTGTGGTCTGGATGCTGAGAGAGATTGAGGTCAGCGCCATGAAATGGAAGGATGTGTCAGCAGACTGGAGCAAGAGAAGGATTTCCATTTTCATCCTCGTCTCGAAGTGCGACCAGCAAGCCCTAGGCGTAAGAAGAACGATGCAATGTTGCGCCTACAGATCCTGCCAAAGATGGTGCCCGTGGAAGGTGTGGGTAGAACTATGGAGAGCCCTTCATGGAGAGCAAAGAGACCCACACGAGTTCATCTTCCAGGACGCCGAAGGCAAGAAGTTGTCAAAGGCGAAGATGGTGGAAGGCTGGGCCATGGTGACGACCCCCGACATTCAAGGACACTCTGCACGACGGTCTGGAGCCATGGGGTATGTGAGACTGGGCATGCCAATTCAGGAGTTAGCATTCCTGGGACGTTGGAAATCCTCCGTGGTGCTCAACTATGCCGAGGATGCCCTACAGACGGAGCCAGCAAACAGAAATTTGAAGCGCGAAGGTGATCACAAACCCAGAAAACAAGAGAAGAAACTGGAAGTCATGACGAAAGAGGAGCCGAACATGCTTCAGGGACTTCCCGAAGGGCCATCAGAAAGCACAACACAAGAGAAAGAAGGAGACAGAGGCTCGGAGCAATGCAAAGTAGTGGTCACATCCCTACCCAAAAAGCTGTGGGTCGCCTCTACAGCCTACAGCTCAAGAGAGCGGGTGTGGCATCAGGTAGAAGATGCTGGATGGGATGTGCCGATAGAGGCCTGGACTTCGATTTGCGGGTGGCCGTTCAGCAGGAACTCATCGAAAGTCATCCTCAACTCCCAATTGACGGTGGCACAAAGGAAATGCAAGAAATGCCTAAAGCGAACTTGCGGCGGTGCCAGTGAGGATGGTGTGGCAAGTTCAATGCCAGTTTGAGAGACTGACCATGA